TCCATTGTGTTTTCTGAGGTCCAGGGTCAACGCAGCCACATACCAGGAAGTTTTAGAGCACTTCATGCTTCCTGCAGCTGACCAACTTTTTGGAGATGCAGATTTCATTTTCCAACAGGACTTGGCACCTGCACACAGTGCCAAAGCTACCAGTACCTGGTTGAAGGACCATGGTATCCCTGTTCTTAATTGGCCAGCAAACTCTCCTGACCTTAACCCCATAGAAAATCTATGGGGTATTGTGAAGAAGAAGATGCAATACACCAGACCCAACAATTCAGAAGAGCTAAAAGCCACTATTAGAGCAACCTGGGCTATCATAACACCTGAGCAGTGCCACAGACTGATCGACTCCATGCCACGCCGCATTGCTGCAGTAATACAGGCCAAAGGAGGCCCAACTAAATACTGAGTGCTGTACATGCTCATACTTTTCATGTTCATACTTTTCAGTTGGCCAACATTTCTATAAATCCTTTGTTTTTATTGGTCTTCAGTAATATTCTAATTTTCTGATATGATGAATTTGAGATTTTCATTTGTTGTCATTTGTAATCATCAAAATTAAACAAAATAAACATCTGAAATATATGAGTTTGTATGTAATGTATGAATATAATATACAAGTTTCACTTTTTAAATGGAATTACTGAAATCAATCTACTTTTTCATGATATTCTAATTTTATGACCAGCACCTGTAAATGGGGGGAATGTGCATCGGCTCCATTCAAAGTTAGTAATGGGGTGAGGCAGGGCGGGATTTTGTCCCCAGTTCTCTTTAACTTGTATCTGGATGAACTGTCACACAAGTTGAGAGCTTGTCACACTGGTTGTGTGGCTGGTGACTCGGTACTTAATCACCTGATGTATGCGGATGATTTAGTAATATTTAGCCCCAGTACTGCAGGGTTACAGCAACTACTAAACATCTGCTCTGAGTATGGTCTGGAACACGACATAAAGTACAATCCATCTAAACGTGTGATCATGACCTGTAGGAGTAAGGAAGATAAATCTACTGAGTTTCCAGATTTTCTGCTGTCAAATACTGTGCTGGGTGTTACAATCAGAGATGGCAAAAGTACTCACTTTCCGTACTTGAGTAAAAGTACAGATACTTGTGTTAAAAATACTCTGGTAAAAGTGGAAGTACTGATTAAACTTCTTTACTCAAGTAAAAGTAACAAAGTACAGGCTTGTAAATTTACTTAAAGTATAAAAGTAAAAGTAGAAACCACTTTTTTCATGCCGTTGCCTACATTTTAAATGGATGTCTGCCAATAGGACTAGATCTCCGTTGTGTTCATTTTCAATCATCTCGTCGTCCATGCTACTATGCTAACGCCACCGCCACCAAGCTGCAATGATTTGCCGCCAATGAATACCGCCGAATCTGTCGATTCATCTTGTAGTGGTGCGTCAAATCAGAATCAGAATCGGGTTTATTGCCATTGTTAGTGAAGGAGTTCGCAACTAGGAATTTTTTATGGTACAATCGTGCAACATGAAACATATAATATGGAATAGGTAAATAAAATTATAAAAATCTCTAAAAACACTGGGGTAGTCAAAAGTCAAAAAGTCAAAAAGCCTTTATTGTCATTATATTCTGCGACAGATACAATGAGATTTGGGACTTCCATAACAGCTACCGTGAAATAAAAATAAAAATAAAAAATATATAAAAAATATATAAATATATTAAAAGGAAAAGGAAATGTAAACAGTTACAAAAAAATATATAAATACATTAAAAGGAAATGTAAACAGTGAAAAGGAAATGTAAACAGTACTGGCATAGATTGTGGGGGGGGGGGATAGTGCAAAACAGATGTAAAGTGACCGACAGTGCAGGTCGGAGTTGAGGGCGGCAATGGCTTGGGGGAAGAAACTGTTCTTGAGTCTGTTTGTCCTGATCCTTATTTGCCTGTAGCGCCTTCCAGAGGGCAACAGGTCAAACAGGGTGGAGCCAGGGTGGGAGCTGTCCTTGGAGATGGCCCTGGCTCTGCTGAGGCACCGGGTGGAGTAAATAAGGCATGCAAAAAATAGACTAATATATACACTAAGGATAAAAATAATAATATAATATAAAAATGCAACGTAGATTCCCATCCAATTAGATTGAATTTGGTATTGATGACGTGAAAAATAATAACGGTAACTCCATTGAAATGATTCAAAACTAAAGTAACGAGCCAATTTTTTAAAATCTAAGGAGTAGAAAGTATAGATATTTGTGTAAAAATGTAAGGAGTAGAAGTAAAAAGTCGCCATAAAAATAAGTAGTAAAGTAAAGTAAAAATATCAGAAAAATCTACTACAGTACAGTAAAGAAGTATTTGTACTTCGTTACTTCTCATCTCTGGTTACAAATAAAACCAAGTATCTTGGGCACATCATCACAGAAAATCTGTCAGACGATAATGATATTTGCAGGCAATGTAGATTGGTGTATGCTCAAGCTAACACCCTTGCTCGTAAATTCGGTTCATGTACTGATAAAGTCAAAGTGGAACTGTTTAATGCATATTGTAACTCTGCTCACTGCTCACCTCTGGACTACATATAGAAAAGTCAACCTGCAAAGGCTGCAGGTGGCCTATAATGATGCTATGCGGTTACTGTTGAAACGTCCAAGATGGTCCAGTGCAAGTGGACCATCTTGGACGACCAGCAATCCGATATCAGTCTAAGCTGTGGAGACACTGGTATTCCTGTCTTCTTAAACATCCTATTTAATCGATAATGGTACTTGTATTGTGTTTTTATCATTAACTATTTTTATTTTATTTTTATGTATGTATTTATTGGACCGAGAGTCCGGAATAAAGTTTATCTATCTATCTAAAAATTTTTACATTAATACCATCTCAAATTAATATTTTAATTTCAAATCGAGGGAAAATATTTTTATTTTATGTTTCCACTCTTCCTCCAAATGTCCCTCCGAAGTTTAATGATATTTTAATCTCTTCCCTCCAAATGTTTTTGTATTCAGTCTATATTTCTTTAATTCTGCTCAGATGTCAACCTTTATATTCAGATTATTGGGGATCGTATCTATGAAAACCTGCAAGTTTTTATTGTTTTTATGCTGAAACACAAGCAGAGCTTCATTTCCTCAGCTAATGAGACGTTTTTTCCTTGTAGGACTTTAGTGTTTTCCTATTGGCTGCTGACCTTTAGCGTGTTTTGGGCTTTAGGTGAATCCGCTCCGCAGCAGGTCGGTCATCTCAGACATTCATGGTCTTATTTTGCATGTCGAATTCCATCAAATATATTTGGCAGCTTTCATTTGTTTACATGCCCGATTCCATTAGTAACACTATTGTTTAGTGGGATTCCTTCATTTAGTCTGACTGGGTGCACAAATCCAAATATCATTTCTGGTTTTTTGTCTTCTTGTCTTCGCCTCCGATTAATTCCTCCCTTTGCAAAGCTGTTCTCATCATTTTCTTCCAAAATTAACCTAATCCCACCCACTCGCCTTGATGTTCAAGCCTACGCTCATCCTGGCCTTTTGTGGGATTAAGTGGATTATATTAAGAGTGAAATATTAAACTCTGATGTGAAACGAGGCAGAATGACTTTGTGATGATGATGCAGAGGCTGTTGTCTTTGAGGCAAGAGTTAAAATGATGGGAGGATTATAAAGCTAACTCCAAACTTTCTCTGCTCTATAATCTCTGGGGGATTAAACCTAAATCAAGTTGTCAGTAACATCCTTTTACAGGAGCTGGACAGAGAAAGTTTTTGGACATTGAGGAATATTTTCCATCATAATTTCTTTTTTTTAAAGGTATTTTTGATTAAATTCCCACCTTTGCTACTTAAATAGGCTCCTAATCCACCAGATTAATGTAACAGACATTTTCTATTTAAACCACAATAAACTTTTTCACTTTTTAGTTATCAGGCTCCTCTCCTGTGGATCCAACTACCAGTTTTAGTCCGTGAGGCAGACACCCTGTCTACTTTTAAGGCTAGGCTTAAAACTTTCCTTAAAGTTAGAGTGGCTCAGGTTATCCTGAGCTATCTCTATAGTTCTGCTGCTATAGGCTTAGACTGCTGGAGGACATAGGGACCCCTTTTTCATCATTCTATCTCTATTCTCCCTGTCTACTTTTAAGAGTAGGGTTAAAACTTTCCTTTTTGATAGAGCTTAAAGTGGCTTATGGTTTTTTTTGTATGCTTTTTAAAATGTTAATTGTCAAGGAGCCGTAAACACTTAAAAAATATTTAAAAAAAATCATGAAAGTCACAAAAACTTCAACTTAAAACTGCAAATTAGCTCCGGACCACTAGGGGGAGGCAAATTTATACATGAAAAAACTTTATTGTATTATTGCCTATAAATATCTCCTAGTTTTTGCCACTGGAAGAATTTTCCCTTTGTGTGTTTTTGTGCGTTGTGATTTTCTAAATGAAGCGGCTGCTGTTTATATTTGCAGTGCATTTGCACCTCTCCACCCACCTAATATAGTGAATTAAGTTCCGTTGTTGCAAGGATTATGTTTAAGAAAGAAAGTTTTGATGGTCGTTTTCTCAAAGATTTTTTTCCCAATTTTTTTTTTTTTATTTAAAGATATATTTAACAACATATTTTATTGGTCAAGAGCGAACGTTTATATTAGGCCTGAGGAGAAAGTGATCTGGAACACAGTTTGAAAAAGTTTACATTTTGTAAACCTCAACGTGAAAACCTGAAATTCAAACAAAAAAAATAAACAACAAAAATACTCTTAATTAGTTTTTTTTATTGATTAAGTTTTTTTAAGTTTCATTTCTGAATTCCTTTTTTTTCTTTTCATCAAACATGTTCTTTGCTTGCAACAATCATGGAGCAAAATTCACTCCGTACCGAAGAAACATCTCAGAAATCGGACTTTTGGAAAAAAAAAACCAGAAAGTAAAAGAAGTCGCTGCCTCATTTGATCGTTTTTATTTCCAAGTCCACCAAACCAGAGTCCAGAGGGAAAATCAAATGATTGTTGCTCGTTTTTTTTTTTATTCTCTCTGGCTCGTTTCAAACATGACCTGTAGAATCAGTCATGGCAGCTCTAACTCCCACGCTTCTCTGCGTGCAATGGTGTGCTGCGAGGATCGAAGCAAATGTCCCGATCAGCTGATGCGGTGCAGCCAGTGTGTGAAAATGGCTTCCCTACTTCCCCTCCAGCGGGACGGATTGTTTTTAACTCCGTACAGACCGAGGCGCCCACAGCTACAGGTTGGCGTAGTATCGGTCCCTGTTGGCGTACTCCCTGTAAGCGAACTTGGCGTCCGTGTTGACGTGCGGGATCCGTCCGAAAGGGGCGTGATCGTTAAAGCAGGAGTCGAAGACTTCGTCCACGATTTTCTCTGCCTCCTCTCGGCTGATTTTTCTCACAGCCAGGATTGAGCGAACGGCCCGACCGCGGACGCACTCCTGGAAGAAGAGTTCGATTACAGGCAGGGAGTCTGGGAGGTCAGAGCGCGACGTTTCTAACTCACCTGCTGATGCTCCTTTAAGCCGAAGTTGAATCTGGCGACTTCGTTGCTGAAGGAGCAGTCGCCGCTGAGGTTAGCCGCTCGGATCTGAACACAAACAGAAACCGTGAAGCTGCGACTTAGAGATGTGTCCGGCGAGGGTTAAAAAGCGTCTCCCCACCTCAGAACAAGCCAGATGTCTGTAGTTGTTGAACCAGTCCACATGGGCCCGGCAGTGGTCGAAGGCGTGGATCAGCTCATGGGTCACCACCCGGTTCATGTGGGACTGCTGGTGGATGTTGTTCTGGCACAAAACAATCTGAGGGGGGGGAAGAAGAAGCAATGAGACGTTGGAAAGGAGAAACCTTGATGTACGCCGCCTCCTCGGCCTCCTACCTGAGAGGAGGCTGCATCGAAGCCGCCGCTGACCGTCCCGTCGCAGTCCTCACAGGAGAAATGTCTGTCTTTAAGCACTTTGCTGTTCACAAAAAAACAAGTTTGATTCTTTAGTGGCATTAAAGGGAAAAAACGCAGATAGTTAGCAGCCAATGGGTATGGAGTAAAGTTTGATCCATTATTGTTAAAGCAAAAACATGGTTTATAAATCCTTTAAATCAATAAAAGGTTTTGAGACGTTTCTGTTTTCTCAGATCTTATTTCAATTTCTTTTCATATATTATTTTCTCCATTTTTTATTTCTATTTCTGTGCTTTATGAATTTCATTCCTTTCCTATCGTATTTCAGAGATCACATTCTTAACTTTTAGCCCAGTAAAAATGTTGTTGCTAACGTCCAGCAGACCAATAGAAATGCGTCTTTGCTCCTCGCTCCAGAGGAAACCCCCGCCCCTAGAACTGCAGAAAATAGATCTAGAAAAAAATGAATTCAAAAGAACGCAATTCGTAGAACTCAACCTGAAAAACTGAAATTTGAAGGAAATTAAAACATATGAAATATGTAAACAAGTAAAGTAAACTTGAAAAAAATTGCAAAAAAAAAGTTGAAAAACTAAAATCTGAAGAAATAGTAAATAATAGTAACTCTCATTACCTTTTTATTTATTTACTTATTTATTATTTTTACTCACATATCTTTAAAGTTTTATTTCTGGATTGTAACTTTTCTTAGATTTCCATTTGAAAAACAAGTTATTAGCTTGAAACAATACTACGACTACAGAAAGAACGTTTTTTTTTTTTGGGTTTGGGTTTTTGTTTAGCCGTCCTTCTTATTCATTTTCAGAGGTGCGGAAATCCTACCTTCTGCTGTTGCCCACACTGCATGTGATGTCATCATTTCTGTTGTTGCTAAGCAACAAAGCGAAGTGATGCAGCCCCGGCTGCTGCAGACGGGCTAACGTTAGCTCTGGCTGTGGTTACCTTTGGGGCTCCGCTGGTTGCCACGGTCCTCAACTTCGGACATTTGTTCTTTAATTCTGCACTAAATCAGTAAATGTTCCATATAGTGAAGCTTCAAGCATAATATTCTCGCCTCAAATGATCTTAAAACTTACTTTTATTGAGCAACGGCAACAGAAAAGAGAAGTTTTAACTTAATACTCAGAGCTCTGTGAGCAGCTGCTGCTGCCGCAGTGCATGCTGGGACAGCTGTCAATCTGGAGAACGGACAAGTCTGCTCTGATGCATGCTGGGTAAAGAGGGAGGGGCCAGGTTCTAGTGAACCTGAGCACTAGGGCTGAGGCTAATGACGTTTCACGAGGATGCACAAGTATGCATCAAAAAATAAATCTGCACACGTAGCGTTAACTTTCTGCTGTTGTCCTGTTTTTATGCATTTTTCTTTTACTCCCCATGAATAAGCACCGGGCCCCTGGGCCCCCCACCCTGCAGACCCTAGAGCCGCCTCTGTGAGTAACTCACCATCCTGAGCTCTTCATGGCTCCAAGCAGCAGTTTAGCATAAGGACCTGCAGACACACAGCAGTTAGCTTTAGCATCGCTAGCACAGCTGCTGCTCAGACGGTCAGACGTCACACGTGACGTTTGATCGGCGGCTTTAAAGGCTGCTTTAGATCAAAGACTCACTGGTTTCCATGGCGAACGTTAACATGACCTGACACTTATGGCTGAAAGTGAACAGGCTCTCCCTGATGGCTCCCTTCCTGCTCCTCCCGCTGCTCCTCTCCGGGAAGAGCTCGTATCCTAATCCCTCCTCCTGCTTGCTCTCATCCATCGTGTCGGATCCTCGTGGCGTGGAAATGTCACGGCAGAACTTTCCGTGGGTCGGTTTCTCCCCTCCGCTAGCTAACAGGAGAGGTCACTGCTGGGCTTCTGGTCACGTGGGTTCCGTGAGCAAATGTTTCCTGACGTCATTTTCAGAATAAAAATAATTATATTGGAGATTTCCCACAATAATAATGTTTGATCAATTTTTCTTTCTTTAATATTTATAATTAAACTATTTTTCCTCCAGGTTAACAGGAGGGGTTCGCCTCATTTGTAATCCGAGGAGGCGTGGCTTCCACACCAGGAAGGAAAACAAGAATTTATTTTTTTTTTTTTTTATTAATTGTTTTATATTATTTTATATAACAAACAGTATACAGAGACTCGTCCATACGGAAGAGGATTAGGGCCACTGGAAAAAAAAAATTAACTGATTTTTAAATTTTATTTCAGTTTAATATGGGGAAAAATTCGGATCTCTGACTGAATTCTGATAATTCTGACTTTTTTCTCAGAATTCTGACTTTAATCTTAGAATTCACTCAGCTTCACTAATCTTAGAGCACTCAGCTTCACTGAAAAAGATGAGTTATTTGGGAGAAACAGGAACACATTGGTGGAAAATTATGGAATTAGGCGACCTTTTTCCGTCCCTGAGGGTCCCTGCTGATGCTGTTTGATTAATGGAAGAGCAGAAGGAGATTAAAACAAGAGAGTTAGTCTCTAAAACAGACATGGCTACAGCTGGATGCTGAATGTTTGTTAGCTGTCAGATTAAAGTCAGAATTCTGAGATTCAAGTCGGATTTCAGACTTTTTTTTTAAATCATATTATATTGAAATTAAATTTAAAAATCAGTTAAACTTTTTTATTTTTTCAGTGGCCCTAATCCTCTTCCGTACGTTGAGGTAAAGGCGTTACCAAATGGGTAGAACAAATAGAACATGGGCGAAAACTAACAACATATACGTAAACAATATGGCCGATGAATGGAAAATAGAGCAAACTTTAAATAAAAAAAGAAAAATAGAAATAGTGGCAGTTACTTTTTATTGCAGAAACAGATTTCAAATGATTCAATGAGGTATAATACATTTTAAATTGGTTAAGAAAAAAAATTAAATGAAGGGTAAAACCTCTCCATTTCTATTTGCATGTTTTCTAAACCAAAACCTGGAACTAAACGCTATTTCTGACATTTTGAATAGAAAAATCTTCCTGGATGAAAGAGAAACGTCTTTAAACTTGGAAAATACGTCCAGGGAATTGATTTTTAAAACTTGTTTAGGGGTGTTGTGCAAATATTTATTCTTTTTGGATATTTCTTCTTCTTTTGACTCATTAGTTGCGTGAAACAAGCAATGATTAAAGAGAGAACAATAAAACAAAACTAATATTTTTCACATTTTAATAAAAAATATGAACAATAATAATGATTGTAAATGCATTTTTTTAGTTCTAAATGATTGAATAAACGATTACTGTGATTATCATCCCATACGGGGTCAAAATAACCCTGAATTATTTATCACCTGTTAACAAAACATTCTGGTGGTTTTCCAAACCTGAAAATTTGGTTCTATTTATGAATTTGGATTTTTGACCACATCTGATTCTAATTTATCTCAGGTAAGTAAGTTTCTCTTTAATAATACTCTTTCCTTCTGATTTACGTATTTTAACTATAAAACTAATAGAATGTTTAATTGCCCTTTTTGCCATTTTATCTGCCCTCTCGTTTCCTTCTACCCCAATATGTGCTGGAACCCACACAAATGTAACTATCAGCCCCGTTTCGTATTCTGAACAGTGTATGATTTATTTCTAATAAAATGTCCATCCTACTATCGGTTTGGTTATTTTTTAAACTTAACAATGCAGAGCTTGAATCTGAACATATTATTGTTTTTAATGGTTTTACGTCTTCTACCCATTGTAACGCTAATAATATTGCCAACATTTCTCCTGTGTATACTGATAATCCATCTGTAATTCGTTTTCCTATTTTTATATTGAATTCTGGTACTACAAATGCTATTCCTAGTTTCTCAGTTATTTTTGATGCATCAGTATAAATTTGAATATATTGATAATAACTGTCTAAATGTAACTGTACTAAATTAATATCTACCGTGTACGATTTATCTTGTTTCTTTTCCATTAGTGACATATCTACTGTTGCTTCTGGTAGAATCCAGGGAGGTATAATTGATATTGGTGTTGTTTGACTCATTTCTAAACTATTCATTTTAAATTTTTTTATTTTATTTTCAATTGACCATCCAAAACTCCTCATTTCTTTCTTTTCTTTTTCCCAGCATGGATTTAAAATGTCCAAAGTTGGGTGATCCCCATTATTTCCTTGTAAATTTAACCAGTAATTAATTTCTAATTTTGTTCTTCTTAAATCTAATGGCATTTCTCCCATTTCTATTTCTAATGCTGCTGTTGGTGTTGTTTTAAATGCTCCAGTACACAATCTTAATGCCTGATGTTGGATAATGTCTAATTTAACCAAATGTGTTTTAGCTGCTGAACCGTAAACTAAACAACCAAAGTCTATGTTGGATCTTATCATACTTGTGTAAATCTGTTTTAGTGATTTCCTATCTGCTCCCCAGTCACTGCCAGCCAAACATCTCAAAATATTCAAGATTTTCTTACATTTACCAACAACTTTTTGTATATGTATATGCCATTTTAATTTTTCATCAAACCATAATCCTAAAAATTTTATACACTTTACCTGCTCTAACTCTTGTTTATATAATTTTAATTTTATTTCCTTGTTTATTTTTTTCTGAGTAAATAACATTACTTTTGTTTTATCAACTGAGAACTTAAATCCCCATTGCAACGCCCATTTCTCTATTTCAATAATAACCTTTTGTAATTTTTTAACAATAAAATCAACATTTTTCCCTCATTTCCAAACAGCTCCATCATCTGCAAATAGTGAACACCCCATGTCTTTTTCAATATCTTTAAATACATCATTTATCATAATTGAGAACAATAGTGTACTTACAATACTATCCTGCGGAGTTCCATTTTCTACTTTATATTTTCCTGAGGTAGTTTCTCCTATTCTAACTTGTATTTTCCTACCTGTTAAAAAGTCTTTAATCCATTTAAATATTCTTCCTTTAATACCAAACTTGTATAATTTAATTAATAATCCATCCACCCACATCATGTCATATGCCTTTTCTATATCAAAGAATACAGCCACTACACTTTATTTACTTGTGCTCTTCTAATTTCGTGCTCTAAACAGAGCGTTTTTTATACATATTTATTATTCGTGTTTGGTTTTGTTTGAGAAGCGCGTCGTTCTGTAAAAAATTGACGATCTTTGGATGCCTCGTGCGCCGCGCAAAGGCTGCTGGGTAACCGGCTGTCATGGCTCCGATGTAAACAGAAAGTCGTGATTAGCGACACTTTTTCTAGTTTTTTTGTTACACAGAAATTTACTACGAATGAACAGTGAACCGAGGATAGAAGAAGCAGGTATTTTATAGCATAAACGACGTCATTTGTAGCATAAATGACGTCATTTATCTACAGAATCCTCCTTTTATCCGCTAAGCTTCGTTTTTAGCTAAGCGGCTAGCTGCTGCTGCCTGGTTTGGAGACTAAAGTGCAGAAGAGAGTTTTTCCATAAAGCATCATGTGTTTTTCTCAGGCATGTCCGCCGGAAACAAGGCCGCGGAGCTCCAGCTTCAGGTGAGGCAGAACGCGGAGGATCTCCAGAGCTTCATGCGGGATCTGGAGAGCTGGGAGGAGGAGATCAGGAGGAGGGATGAGGAGCTGAGGACAGGAGGAGTCCAGGAGCTCCAGGTGGGGCCCTGCTTCACAACCACATCCTTTATTCTCTTTATTTCAGTCTGTTTTGTCATAAATTGTTTTGTTTTTTTTTAACCTAGAAAAAACTCCCACCTGTTCGGAACAAATCCTACAAAACCAAATCGAGGGAAAAAAGGAAGAAAAAGGAGGCTGGTGACATAAAAACAGAGGGGGTCCAACAGGCATCCAGGCTGAAATCCTACGATTATCCATCCTGGGACAAGTTTGATGTGGTAAACCTCCAGATGTTGCTATAAAAAAACAACATAAATAATAAAAAAAAATCTCCAGATGTTGGCATCAATAACTCTAACACACAGCCACTGTATGGAGGCAATTCTGTTCCATTATTTTTGCAACTGAAGAACATGTTTTGTAAACAAAAATTTGACCAAAATACAATCCAGAAATGAAACTGAAAAACTTCCTAAACAAAAATTTTTTTAAGAGTAAGTTTGTTGTTTTCTAAGATTTATTTTACGGATTTGGTCGCGTTATATTTTCAAACTTTATTTTGTCACATTTTCTTCTGATCTTTTAAAAAATATATATTTTACTTTTTTTAATTCCAAACGCACGCTGTAGGCCAATAAACATTGCTAAAATCAAGAATTAGAAAAAAATAAATTGAATAAATAATACGGAGAGAAAAAAGTAAATTATTAGAAATAAAATATGAGAAAGCATCAAATTTACGCTGAAAACCTATTTTTGGATTAAGATGTTTTTCAAAGTTTCATTCCAGATTTTTTTTCCCCCCCAAATATTGATTTACAAATAGTTTTAATTTTTGCATGATTAAAGGATCAAAACGACCTCCATACATTATTCAGTTTTCTTTTCCTCTGCAGGATAAAGCTCTGGCAGAAATGGATAAGGAGGAATCCCACGAGTCGGACTCGGAGGAAGCCGGCGTTGATAAGGAGACCGCTCTGATGGAGAAGGAGACGGTTAGCGACGCCTCACATGTGGTGCTCAGACCAAACAGAAACATGCTAGCAGCTGTTTTCTTTCCGTTTTTATTTTTCAGGGGAACAAGTTGTTTAAAGTGGGGAAGTATGACGACGCCATCGAGTGTTACACCAGAGGGATGGCCGCTGATCCGTACAACCCTGTGCTTCCCACCAACAGAGCCACGTCCTTCTTCAGGCTGAAAAAGTAACGTTAAACAAACCGATTTCCAGCATCAGAGCAGCGGTTCAATAATTACTGAACAGGATGAAATCAGAAACGATTCTGTTGAGAAGAACAAAATAAATAAAACCTCTCAGCTGCGTGTGGTGGGGGGGCGGGGCCTTTAAACGCCATACGGACGCCGTCTTCCATCTTTAATCTGCTCAAAGCGTCTGTAAAGTTCAAAAGGCAGATTTCCAAAGGTTTGTTAAAGCCTCAAATTCTGTTTTTAGTTTTATTATGAAATCATGACCTTAAAAAAAGTTTTATTTAATAATAATACTACAAAAAAATTATAATCTTTTTTAGAATAAGGAAAAAAAATCTATATTTTTACCTTTTTGTTTATTTTTTTTACAGAATTTTTATTTTTCTGAGGCGCCCCCTGGTGGTGATCCCCCCCACTTTAAAAATATCTGTTTTAGAAGGAAAAAATAAAGTAAAATTGTAAAATTTCCTCTGATGCGTCTCAAATTAAACAAAGCAGACAGAGAGACGGGAAACGTTTCCTAAAAATCATTTTTATTTACAAAAAAAAGCAAACGAAGGATTTTAAAATGATACATTTTCCCAAATAAAAAGGTCAAATAAAAAAAAATCCAGAAAATCTGACCTGACAAACGGAGAGTTAAATATTGGCTAAATAAACTCCAACAAAGATTTTAACAAAAAGAAACAAAAACACTGGATAGATTCACATTCATTAAAAGAAAAACTAATAATTTAATACAAAAGATAAACTCCAGATTCACACTAATTGTTCAGCATTAATGTCGTTTCTATGGAAACGCTCAGTGACCTAACTGGCAAAAAAGAAAAAAAAATCTGTTGTAAATTATAATAAAATTAAATCAGACAGATGAATTAAGTTTAACTAAAAGTGTCCAATTAGGAAAACAAAGTCATCCAAGATGAAGAAATTAAACCAGATCTTATTTTTTTATTAAATATAATGATAAATAAAAAACAATTCGGCTACACAGATGTTCCAGTTTAAGGTTTATTACTTATTTTGTGTTTTAAACCGTTTAAAGCGAAGAGCACCAGGAAGGAGAAAAGCGTTTATTTTTAACCAATGAGGGAATTTATCAATCAGAGGTTTTAGATGCAGGTCGATTTTTTTCCCGATATTTTTTTATTTCTGGCTGAGCAGTTGGACAGGTGTACCTAATAAAGTGGCCGGCGAGTGTATATCACCATGTGTTTAAATCGCCTTCAAAAACGATAATGGCATAAATTTGCACTGATTTACTCATTCAAATTTTTGGTTTCAAATTTAATTTTATTTAATTTTAACCAGATCAAATCTTTTCTGCCACATTCTGTCTTTGGGTGTCAGAATTAAACCTTTAACAAGGTCCCAGCAGCAACACAGGAAACAAAGCGAAAACATTGGTAACCCAGTGTTAAAACCACAAGTAAAAAATAAAAAGCAGTACTAAATAAAATGCAAAATAAAAAAGGATTATTTTGTGCATACTAAAAAAATGCAGAATGAAAAAACAAATTGACCTAAAATTACAAAACAAAAGTGGAAATGCCGTCTAAAAATTAGAACGTTATCAGATTCTATCAGCATTGATCTTTACCTGCTGGGAATTTTAAAGAAGCACAAAAAGTTATAAATTTAAAAACCTTGCTGAGTTTAGAGTACGCCAAAAAACTCTGAATGACATCACAGCTGTTAAAGCGTCTAAAAAACATTGAAATAACGTCATACGCCATACGGACGCCGTCGTCCATCTTTAATCTGCTCAAAGCGTCTGTAAAGTTCAAAAGGCAGATTTCCAAACGTTCGTTTAAGCCTCAAATTCAGTTTTTAGTTTTACTATGAAATTATGACCTTTAAAAAAGTTTTATCTAATAATAATATTACAAAAAAATATAATCTTTTTTAGAATAAGGAAAAAAAAATCTATATTTTTACCTATTTGTTTTTTGTTTGTTTTTTGCAGTATTTTAATTTTTCGGAGGCGCCCCCTGGTGGTGACCCCCCCCCACTTTAAAAATATCGATAATAGAAAGAAAAAATAAATTAAAATTGTAAAATTTCCTCTGATGCGTCTCGATTTAAACAAAGCAGCCAGAGGTTTCCCTCCATCTCTTCCTGTTTCTCTTCAAACGCCATCGGCTTCACAGCTGATTGAACATTTAAATTAGTGTGGAAGGAGACGCTGGCATGCAGAGTTTACAACATTCATTTCGCAGCCGATGACTTTTTAAATTCAATTCTATTCAGTTTATTTCTATAGCTCCAATTCACATCATGTCATCTCAGGTCACTTTATAGATCCAGATCATCCAGTCAGATTGATTCAAAGTTTTCTATCTAAGGAAAACCAGCTGATTGCATCGACTCATTGACTCTTCAGCAATCCCTCACACTAAGCATGCTTGTAGCGACAGTGGAGAGGAAAAACTCCCTTTGAACAGGAAGAAACCTCCAACAGAACCAGGCTCAGTGTGAGCGGCCATCTGCTGAGGCCCACTGGGGTTCAAGGAGACAGAAGCAGACATAGAAAAAGAAGCATAGATACATTTTTAGATACTGGAATAAATTTGTACTGCTGCCTTTTGCAGCCATGGATTTAGGTCTTACAAATCGGCGCCTTTAGTTCGGCGTGAAATCCAAACCGCTGCCGTAAATCACTCAGCTGAAACATGTAGTGCTCTCGCCATATTTAGTTTGTCGGTACGAGAAAATAATCCCGTTTGGAGGAAGAGTTTATGATGCATTCAAAGTGTGTGGGAAAAATAAACTCTCAGTGAAATAGATGCAGACGGCTTAATGTCGTCATACGAATTTAGCTGCGATAGTTATTTTAACTGTTGTGCGTGAAAACTGGAGATAAATCGCGTATATTTGATTTTTCGTCCAGCCCGTATTGGGGGCAGGAAGAGAAGAAATGAAAGAATCCATCATCAGGACTTTCCTCTAAAGGAAAAGGAAGCTGGTTTGTGGGATTATTGAGTGAAACCTGGAAAGTTTAATCTGTCGAATCCGGTCTGAACCGGCTCGCCGTCCTGTTCGCAGATTCGCCGTTGCAGAGTCGGACTGCAACCTGGCCATCACTCTGGACGGGGGCTACTGGAAGGCGTACGCTCGGAGGGGAGCCGCGCGCCTCGCTCTGAAGAAGCACGAGTCGGCGTTAGAAGGTAGGAGGAGCTTCAGAGACGACGCTGTGGTTAATCTGAGACAATGAGGATGTCCAACATTCCCGGACAGATTACCAGACGGTTCTCAAGCTGGACCCGAGCAACACGGAGGCTCAGGACGAAGCCAGGAAGATCAAGGAGGTGGGTGACGATTCGGCTGGGCGTGCGGCGTGCTCGCTCTCCTTCCCTGTTAACCGATGCTCTGGTTGGTTCAGATCCTCCGTCAGCAGGACGCGGCGGCGGGAGACGCTCAGCCCGCCGAGGCGCCATCGGTGGATCCCGACCAGCAGAGACGTCTGGAGGAGCAGCAGAGGAAACAGGAAGCAGCGTTGCAGAAGGATAGAGTAAGCCCCGCCCACTTTTAACAACCACATCCATCCTTAGAGCAGCTGTTCAAACCCACCAGATGTTGGTTTCCAGGGAAACGCTTACTTTAAAGAAGGGAAGTACGAGGCAGCGGTGGAGTGCTACAGTAAAGGAATCCAGGCGGACGCTATGAACGTCCTCCTGCCTGCAAACAGAGCCATGGCGTTCCTCAAGCTGGACAGGTAAGAGGCAGCGTCCCGATTCCCGCTCGCCGTCCCTGACTGCAGAGCTCAGCCGCCGCTCCTCCTGCAGGTTTCAGGAAGCAGAGGAGGACTGCACCGCCGCCATTTCTCTGGATAACACGTACTCCAAGGCCTTCGCCCGCCGCGGGACGGCCAGGCTGGCTCTGGGGAAACTGCAGGAGGCGCGGGAAGGTACTGCAGGACGCGGCGGCGTTGAGGCTTCGCTCTTTCTTTCCCGTTTATTTTCTCCACTCTCATGTTTCTGTGTCAGATTTTCAGCAGCTGCTGAAGCTGGAACCAGGAAACAAGCAGGCCCTGAACGAGCTCCAGAAGCTGCAGAGCGTACGTCTCAGATCCGACCCTGTATGGGGAGAACTTTGGTCCATTATTACTAAGAAGAAAGAGAGTCCAGAAATGAAACTTAACGAAATGCTTTATCAACCCTTCAGAGGGCACTCAGGGAAATACTTTAAAAAAAATCCATAATTCAAACCAATAGTGTTATTGCAATCTAGGATAAGACCTTATTACCTTTGAAACGTTAAAGAAATATGGATATTTTGATGGCAAAAATGAAGGTCAATGTATTAACAAGAAATACCAACTTGCCCGAATATATTAAAGGCATACTATGCAACATTTTTCAGTTAATTAATGTGTTCCATAATGTTTTGGATGATTAAATGAGTCATTTCAGGTCGAACAAAGGTATTCTTGGCCGCCCTGGTGGTCTGTAGGGGATATACCGTACTTGCGATTGCAGGAGCCCTCGGCCCGCACCCACAGGCTCAGAAGTCTCGCGAGAGTCGGTCTTGCTTTATGGCGAGAACTGCTACACGCCCCCAGTGAAAGGCATGCTCGTTGCTAGCGCAGTGGCAATATTTCTGCGAAATTTTAAAACTCTAAAATTGGAACAAATTAGTCACTTACCGCAGTAGACATGGTGATTCGTTGCGTTCGCCTGTCTGCTAAGCTCTAAACAACCGCGCCTGGCTTGACGGAGAAACCAGGAGAACAGCTGAGCATATTTACGACAGTGCACTTTTACTTTCGCCCTCTGGGGGGAGCCTCGCTGGAAAATCAACACCGGTTGCATAGTATACCTTTAAGAAAAATTACAAAAATGCTTCTAGAAGAAATTAATGAAAAACACTCTGAGAACGAAAGAAACACTTTTTTTTTTGTTCAAACATAACCTTAGAGGCATTAATGCTGATATTGGCACTTACAGTTTTTAGTTTATAAACCTAAATATAATTGTTAACTAGGCTTATTAACTTTTTAACTTTACTTAAAACTTTTCAATTAGTTGTTTACCTTTTTTCTTAACTTTTTTTTCCCAACTTAATTCCCAGTAGGTAATCTATCATTCAAGGGTTCATCTAATTGGTCAAATCCTAAAATAAGCTGTACAGCCATGTAGCGGGATCAAAAACGGTAACTCAGCCTATAAAGGGTAAAAAAAAAAAACCTTTGAGAGAAACTTTTTTCTCAAGTTAATTTTTTTCAATTATTTTATTTTTTTAAATTATTTATCATTTCATTCTCAGTCATCCAGGTCAAATTAATTCAAAAAAAAGTTCTAAACTGGTGATTAAACCGGCCAGGCTAACAGCGACGCTAACGACTCCCCATTACTAAGGGGGGGTCAGATCTGCTCGGTCCTGCTTCCTGCTGGTGATGTCACGCTGCATGACTGGCTGAACGTTGCCACATGATGTAAAACATTGTGGTTGCCCAGACAACGATAACATCACGCAGCATCCGTGTGCCGAGTCTGGAGCTTCTGTAGCGTTAGCGCGTCTAATGACCGATAAAGTTTTATGTGATTGATAAAGAAACTGAAAAAAACAAAGTAACTGTTAGACCGTGATATAAAGAGCTGGGTAGCGCTGCTACTAGCTAACAGGTTAGCCTCTTTTAGCTTGCTCAGTTAGCCACATTAAGCTACACTACTTTTAATTTCCCGTCAACGACAACCGTTTGTTTTCTACAAGTAGAATAACTGTTTTATTTTCTAAAATCTCTATGAAAGTCATTTTTAAGATGTTCCGTTTGTCCTCAGACCGTAAGAAAAAGACTAAAATAAGCTTTTTTTGTCACCTTCCAGACCGATAATGATTGTTTTCTACTTTCGGCTGCTTTAGATCGCAGATTAAATGTAAAATAATAGCAAATATAGGGAATAATATGATGAGTTTCCAAAAGAGATTTGATCCTTAAGAAACGGGAGCAATACTGTTTGTCCGAGTGGAGTTGCCATATGATGATGTCATAAAAAGGGGCGGGGCCCCGAGCAGATCTGGTACCTAAAGCGGCTCCATCTGCATGTTTTCTAAACAAAACCTGGAACTAAACGCTATTTCTGACATTTTGAATTTAAAACGTTTCCTGGATGGGAAGAGAAACGTCTTCAAATTTGGAAACAAAGTCCACTGGATTATTATTTTATTTTTTTTACTTTTTGGGAAGTTTATTTAAATGAATCCTAAATTGTTTTTACAGAATTACAATTTAAAAAGAAAAGCAATCTGAAATCAGACAGAAAAGGGGAAAAAATGTGAAAAAATTAAATCTGTAAAAAGAAACAAAAAAAAAAACCTTTAAAATGAAAAGTGAAAATAAAACCTTACAAAACGGCTTTTTTTTTTTTACCTGGCGTTCTATTTCTGTACTGCGTTTTTGTTTCCAAATGCCCATTAATTAATAAATCGTTTTCTTCGCCACAGTAATAACGGACCAAAATTCTCTCCATACATTTTCCGCTGCATTCTGATCTGTCGGCCGAATTAAAACCTTCCTGTTCTGCAGGATCTGGGTTCCGGTGAGGATCTGCAAACAGAGAACGGCTCTCAGAGGAGGACGGTCCAACCTGTAGACAAACCAGAACATCTGCGCTCAGCGGTGAGCAGCTAGGCCTCACGTCACGCATCCGATGCCTTTTAATCTATTATGCTGTTACACCTTCCCTCCAGCAGGGGGCCTGAATCGATCCTATCTGCTGTACTTTGCTGGTTTTATTTTGCAGAAACCTCTGAGGAAGATCGAAATCGAGGAGATCAGCGGGACGCTGACGGCGGCCGAAGCCGGAGCAGCCGCTCCATCGCTGCAGGAGGCCGAGAGGAAGACGGAGGACGGACCCTCCCCTCTGTCCACGTCACCCAGCGCCAAGATGATCAAGATCGAGGAGATATCAGAAACTGCGTCGGAGACGCCCCAACGGTAGTTTCAACAAAACCGATAAAACGCGATAAATATGTTAACTTTACTTTGCTTGAATCCGCGTTCAGTTTTAGCAAACAGCAGCCAGAGGTGAGCGAGGTCATTGGTTCAGATTACCGTATTTTCTGTACTATGAGGCGCACCGTCAATGAATGGCAAGTTGTTTCAGATATAAAGCGTATAGAATAGAAGCTACAGTAGCGGCTAACGTTGCGTTTTGCATCCGCTTGATGCAGCTGCGCTAAAAAGAATGTGAATAAAACAGAGAAGTCAAAGTTTATTAATATATTATTTGTAATATGATCGACCTCCTTCAGCGTTGGCTTTTCAAAATAAAATACAATTAAACATTTCATGATGTTTAGATTCATTTTAAACTCTGATTACGGTTAGAAAACGTGGAAATATGCAGCAAGGCTACGTAGAAATTTACTTTTTTTTTGAAGGTGTGGAGCTGAAACCCTGCAGTGGTTTGGTAAATGAAGCAATAACTTAAACATGGGAGGGAAAGGATCTGAAAAGTGCGGCTTGCCTTTTGATATTTTAGGATTTCTCAGGTGGTTTAGAAGAGCAGCTAGCGGACACTCGTCCTTCCAGCTTCTGGCTGTGAGCTGATGGTTTCCCTCCCTTCGTCTAACCGGTTTATTCTGGTTCCTGTAGCGGCTCAGGCCGTAAAGCTCGGGAGGAAACCGTCCGATCCCCAGAAGCGCCGCCTGAAACCCCCCCCACAGAGACAGATGTTCCTCCCGCACCCGCCAACAGCTTCCAGCTGGAGTCAGACCTCCGAAAGATCAGGAACCAGCCGGAGTGCGTTTACAGATACCTGAGGGTGAGCTTTACCTTCATCAGCTTCACTCTTCGCCTGGCTATGGAGTCAGCTTTGCTCCATTATTATTGCAAAGAACAAATTTGAAGAAAAAAAAAAATGGAGTCCAGAAATGAAACTTTGAAGCACATTTTAATCAAAAAATGTTCTGAGAGTAACTTTCCTAAAGTTTACATTTCATTTGTTTGTTTAAATTTTTTAGTCTAAGTTTATGAATGTATTTTTTTTCCTGTTTTTAGAATGAATCCAGATCCCATTTTTTCTCTTCTTATAGCGAGTTTTCCTCTGGTTTATTATTTAAACATTTTTTTAAAGTTTTTAAAATTTCATTTCTGGATTGCATTTTTTTCCCTCCAAAATGTGTTCTTTGCATAAATAATGGAACAGAATTCCCCTCATACCGGTCAGGCTTACCTCAAACTTCTTAATCCTTGTCTGCAGCAAATCAGTCCGCCGTCTTACGCCCAAATCTTCCAGAATTCGCTGGAAACAAACATCCTTAACCAGATCCTGACCACCCTGCGGGATTTCTTCATAAAGTAAGCAATGAGGGAGGAGCTAACATCTGCACTGAACTGGTTTGAACTGGTTTAACAGCATGACCTTCACCGCAGGAATGAGCCGCCGGCCTCCATCCTGGAGACCCTCAGCAGCCTCGCCAGCGTGAGGCGCTTCGACATGGCCGTCATGTTCATGTCGTCTCAGGAGAAGAAAGGTGCCGATTGTTTCTGGTTCTTCGCTTCCCACTTCGATCCTCCTAAACCATCTGCTGTGTTTCTGCTTTTCTCGCCGCTAACAGTGCTGAAGGAGCTGTTCGACTTCCTCCTCCAAGCCGGGTTGGATCCGTCATCCATCGCAGTCCTGCAGAGGAAGTACGGCGTATGATGGAGGGACGGCGAAAAGCAAAGCTGCGTTCGGCGTCTTTGGTTCCACCGAGTTTAGGAATGATATCGGACTTTCCAGCTTATTTCTCATTTTTTTTAGATCCTACAGTGATGCTGCTTTAAATATCCACTTGTTTTTCAATCTGCCAATTAAACAAACTGACTAAATTATCGTTTTGAGAACTTTATTCTTGTTTTTGTTTGTTTATTCTTTGTATTTTTTAAGATGGATTATAGTAGTTAATATAAAAAAGCTGATTCATTACATCATTTTACAGACTGGCTTAATTAGATCAGTGCTGTAGCTTCAAGTTTCAGCCACCAGATGGAGCCAAATGCCTTGTATAAAAAAAAAAAAAACACCTTGATAATTATTCTGTTTTTTTTTTTGTTTTTTTCAGCTTTAGCTAACTAGGCTATTTTAGCCTAGTTGTCTGTGAATCACAAACCAGAGAAATCTGTGATCAGAGGTTGGTAAATTTAAAAGAAGCATCACTTTATTATATTTTTACTCAAGTAAAAGTAAGAAGCACATTTTAAAGAAATGACTAGAGAGTAAAAAAGTATTTAGTAAGAAGGTGACTCAGGTACTGATCTACTTACTGCTCATGATCATAACAGATTTAATAAAATGATTTAAAACTGAAACAAATATTAAGTTAAATAAAAGTTCTGGCATTTCAGAGAATAAGATAAAAATAATTATATATAACATTAATTACACAATAAAACATTTTGTTGTAAAGAACACTTTTTAAAATACATTTGAGTTATAAATTAAAAAAAATGAATAGTTGCAGTATTAAGATGAATCTCCAAACCGCACAGAAACTCAGCAGATAGTTTTGGACTGTGGGAGGAAGCTGGAGTACCCGGAGAGAACCCACGCATGCTCAGGGAGAACATGCAGACTCCATGCAGAAAGACCCCGGGCCGGGAATTGAACCCAGAACCTTCTTGCTGCGACTGAGCAGTACTCAATTGCAGAAAGTCGAAACTTTATTATATTTTGATTCAAGTAAAAGTACAACGCTGTAATACTGCTCCTAAATGTAATTTCTTTCCAAAAAGTTTCTCAAATAAATGTAACAGAGTACATGTAAATACTTACTACATATATGTATCTGTAAATATTCTATGGAGCGAATTTTGTTCCATTATTGATCCAAATAATAAATGTAAATAAAAAATGAATTGGATCCAGAAATGAACTGAAAAATGTCTTCAAAAAATTTTTTTTCATATTCTATTTTTCTTATATATTGCAAGATTTTTTGTCTTTTTTATTGTAAATTAAAATTTTTCAAATTTTATTATTTATAAACTGCAAACATGTACTCTTCACCTCTGGGGGGGCGGAGCAACAACGCCTTTTTATTGGTCTGATGGACGTTAGCAACAACACGCTGGGCTAACGCATTGGGCTTGAAGAAAAACTGATCTTTAAAATGATATTTAAAAAAAATGCAATTCGTATAACTCAGACTAAAAAAGTAGAAAAAAATATATAAAATCAAAGATAACCCAGGAGTTACTCTACAATTTTTTTTATTTATTTTTATTTTGATAGCTTTCAGAGTTGCATTTTTAAACAATATTTTATTTCAAGATTCTCTTTACAAAATATTTTCTTTGCTTTGAACAATAATGGAACAAAGTTCACTCCATACCTGCAGATTATCTTTGAAGCTCTCAGTTAAAAAATAATTATTGTAAAACCTTTTAAGTTGATAAAAATGCATATGCTAAGATACATTTGTAAAATATATCAGCATAAATGCAAATCAAAACTCACATTTTCATGATAAACATGCAGAGTTAGTTATTTTTAAGAGCTTTTTGAATTGATCCTGAAGTTGGATTAAATTTGATAGAATTGGATTTCATTGCATTTTGAATAAAAACTGTTTTTTTTTTTTTATTTCTTGTCTGAAATGTCTAAATGACTCTGTTGTTTAGAAAATCAAAACAAATTCTCTTTATTGACAGTAAAAGCATCATCAAACCATTTGGATAATAGAAACATTTCTGAGTAGGAGGTCAAAGTTCACAATGAAAACTCAAAGCGACGTTTCCTTTGAGTCTCTGAGCGGCCTGAAGGTCAGGATCTCTGTGAAAGTATGACCTGATAATCACAGAAAGAAGATTGTTAGCATCATCGCAATTTAGTCTGATATAAACCGAACTGAAAAGATTAATTTAGATCATCCAGGGTTTAACTACAAACTCAAACTTGATGAAACGGCGCTCTGGTCTCACGTTTCCACTGCTCCAGCGGCAGGTCGGTGTTATCCAGGGTCTGATCGTACGGCAGCGCCTCCGTCTCCTCCTCCACCTCCCTGAACTCGCTGAAGAACGGCAGCTCCAGGGCCTCCGACGCGCTCGCCCTGCTCTCAGGGTCCAGGAGGAGCATCTTCTCCAGGACGCAAACCGCTGCGATGCACAGAAGACGACTAAAGCAGAAGTTCTTCGCATATAAAGCTACTCCAAGGTTTTCCTTTACCGTTTGGGCTGACTTTGGAGAAAATGGAGGACAAATCTTTCTTTGGCACTTTGGGTAAACTTCTGATGTAGTTTCTGGCCTGTTGAGCAACAAACAAAAAAGATTTAAAAAAGTTCATAAAATCTTTAAAAAAAGAGAAATAATGCAAAGCATTGGTGGTGGCAGCATCATGCTGCGGAGCTGCTTTTCTTCAGCAGGGACAGGGAAGCTGGCTGGATATAATGAAGTGAAATACAGAACAATCTAATGATAGACGGATTCTCAGGGTGTGAGCGGAGCTGCAGACGATAGAAACGACTCGGGACTCGGACTCGTTGCTCCTTACATCTTGACTCTGCAGCTTCAGAACAAAGTCCGCAGTCGGAGTTCCTGTGATCTTCATGATTTCTCTTAGCTGATCCAGGTCTGACAGGGGGAGGAGTTAAGAAGCATTACCTGGATTCTTTATCATCGCTTCAATTTAAAGGACAAGTTCGCTCATATTCAGAAATCATACTTCTGAAAGCTCTTAAAATATGAAATCATTAAATAAAGTTCAATAAATGATCATATTTTTATTTCAGAGTAAATTTCCTCTGAATGTGCTTCACTGGAGGCGTCCATGTTTGTTTCTGTTCTCTTTAACAAGGATACGGTCGTTTCCTTTGAACAGAGGTTTGCCCAGCAGCATCTCTGCCATGATGCAACCTGCCGACCAAATGTCCACTGGAACACAGAGAGGGGCGCTGCTTATGTCACTGCGTTAGAAAATGCATCGATGACATCATCAGGTGTCCTTTTTTTTACCTGTTTGCGTGTAGTGCATCCAATTCAGGATGACCTCAGGCGCTCTGTACCAGCGCGTCACCACGTAACCTGTCATCTCCGCGTCGGCCTGCCGAGCCAGGCCAAAGTCCAGAATCTACAACGGGGGGGTGGGGGAGGGTGACTGTTAAAACATTAAAATCCATAAATAATAAAGATTAAATAAAGACAGGATGATTTACCTTCAGCTCACAGTCCGGGTTTATGGCCAGATTTCCAGGTTTGAGGTCCTGATGGAGAACAAGTAATATTTTAACTTCCATCTTTAAATCGATTTATAAAATGTTTCCAGTTTTATTTACACTGTTTATATATTTACTATATAAACATGAAGTCAGCCAGGCAGGATAATAAAATAAATTTAAATAATAAGCACCAATACAT